TTTTTTTTTTTTTTTTTTCTTTTTTTTTCTTTTTTTTTTTTTTTTTTCCTTTTCTCTACCGTTTACTTTTTCCAGCATGCAGGAGGCTTTTACATCGTTTTTTGCTTGCTAGGGGAAGGGCAGAGACAAAAGGAGCGGCCAAGGAGCCCCTCGCCTCCCCCGCCCCATTCCCCAGGGTCAGTGCTAGCACGGCTCCCCCCCGCCCCAGATCTCTCCTTCCCCCCTCCCCGCTCCCACCCACCTCTTCACAACCTGGCATCAAAGAAAGACATCGACCAAAAACTTGCTCACATTACCACGAACAGACTTCACTCAGCCAAGAACGACTACAGTCACTCAACTAACAGCGCGGCCTCCGGGGGGCCGGGGAAGCGCTTCAGCCATGTCCCCTTTCCCGCTCCAGCCCCTCCGGTCCCGCACTGCACAGCCCCTAAGGCCCCTCGAGCGCTGGTTGGAGCCCCGCAGCGCAGCGCTCCGTTCCCGCCAGCAGGAGAACGCGGCACAGCGAGCAGCTGCAGTGCGACCGCTGGGCTTCAACGCACTCTTGGGCTCCAGCACCACCACTGGGGCTCGAATGCAACCACTGGATTCCAACACAACCGCTGGCCTTCAACGCAACCATTGGAGCTGCAACGCCACCATGGGGCCCCAACAAACCATGGCCTCCAACGCCACCATGGGGCTCCAACAAACCATGGGCTCCAACGCCACCATGGGGCTCCAACAAACCATGGCCTCCAATGCCACCATGGGGCTCCAACAAACCATGGCCTCCAATGCCACCATGGGGCTCCAATGAACCGTGAGATTTCAACGCAACGCTGGAGCTCTGATAAAACCATAGGGGCTCCAATGCAACATTTGGGGGCTCCAACGCAGTCATTGGGGCTCCAACACAACAGTTGGGGCTGCAATGCAATCATTGGGGCTCCAATGCAACGATGGGGCTCCAATAAACCACCAGACTTCAATGCAACTGTGGAGCTGTGACACAACCACTGGGGCTCCGACGCAACCACGGGCCTTCAAAGCGACCACTGGGCTCCAAAGCGACCCGGGGGCATGGATGCAGTGCAGGTGTTGGCACGGAGGGCTCAGAGCACCATCATGCCCCAAAACCCCCTTGTGGGGACTAAACCGAAGCCAGACTCGGAACAAGAACCAGGTTTAGGAAGGACGCGGCCAAGGCTGCGCCCAGCCCAGCACATGTTCACATCCCGGTCTGCTCGGGGCGCACAGCGCAGTGCGTGGGGAACCAGAGGGTTCTGAAAGCTCTGGGGAGGAGGCGAGCACACATCCGACCCGACAGCATCCCTTCAGCACAGCATCTCTGTTCTTTTTTTCCGCAATATCAGCATCCACTGCAGAACCAGGAACAGAGCCCAGCCCTCCGTCCACCTCTCGCCGCCTACGGTCGTAATTTTACCACTGATGCCAAACGGTGGAGGGAAACCCCTTGGTGCCCATCCACCCCCATCCGGAGGGCGAAACCGAGCAGAAGAGGGGATGTTCCCAGGAACAGCGCTACGACGGAATGGAAGTCTCCTGAAACCCAAGGGAAAGAAAAGAATCGTGGGCGATTTCGATAACGACAATTATTATTATTTTTTGCTGTAGAACTGTCTCAGCCAAGTTGTGCAACTCGTTGGTTCAGCTCTAAGTTGGGGTCTGGGATCTGCGAGGGGCAGGAAGCGGGGCGGGAGAAGAGAGAAACACCGCTGTACAACCAGCCCGGCGCTGGCAGGGCGGCGTGCCTTCGTGTGCGCGGGGCTGCCTGGCTGCTGGCTCAGTCCAACGCACATCTTCACCGCTGAGGCATTTCGGTGTCCGGAGAGCAGCTGAACCGACCCCAATCCGCCAGCCGTCCGCCGCTGGCCCAGGGCTGGGTGCCCACGGACGCCCATCGTCCCCCACTTCCCGACGGTCAACCGAAGGATCGGAGCGAACGGAACCAGCAGTCTTGAGATGACCGAAGGATGTTCGACAAGGCAATTCTTGTTTGTTTTTCTTGGTTTTTTTTTTTTGCTTTTTTTTTTTTTTTCTGTTTCCTTCTGAAAAAAATAGAATATATAAAAGCGGCCAACCTCAGGAAGATCCACGCAACGACAGCTGGAGAGGTTTTGGTCCATAAAGAAATACTTCTGTATTTTATTTTATTTTATTTTTTTCTTCTTTTTATTCCCCCCCAACTCGGCGTCGGGTCACGAAACTTTTGGTCCGGCTTAAAAACGACGACAACAAAATTAAATCTCTGTAAAACCCGGCTTTCGCGCTCGGTCGCCGCCTTTCGTTTTTTGCTTCACCGTCGGGACGCGCCGCTCTCCCGCACCGCCGTCTCTCTTCGGCCCCGGCGCGGGGAAAGGGAAAGGAAAGCACCGTGTGTGGAAATACCCTGTGAGCGGAAGGATCCGGCCCTGCGGAGGAGGAAGGAGCCAGGCGAGGAGCGGAGGAGGCGGCTCGGCCCGCAGCCCCTTCCAGCCTCCTTCAGCCCCGCCGCCGAGCCGCCGCTCTCGCTCTTATTGTTCTCATTT